ATTGTCAAATGATAAGAATAAATGGAAAGTAAAATGGAGCATCATTTGTCATTCATGACATTGGGGCAATACACATTTGTAGATGCACCATCCGTCCTAAGATAATTGCGCCAGAGGTCGCGCAACAGCTTCCCGTGAAGCCTCATGCGGATGTCTTTAGCTTTTYCTCGGCCTGTAGAGTTAAAGCTAGTTCATATGCCACACTCAATTGTTAGCGACAGGGTGCTTGCTCTTCATTAGCTATTTCTGGCAGGAGCTCTTTCGTTTACAAGGGGACGCAATTTAATATGAGTACAACTTTCCGCTGCCTCCATTCCTATCCCATCCTTTATGATCTTTGGGCATTCCAGTTGTTGACTCCTCACACCGCTACGGGCCTTTCTAGGACCGACCAGCGCTTCACCTGCACAGGTACCTACGTAGTGTCGGTATGTTAGGATGAATTGGATTGATCTAACATCTCTCTCGGATGTAATATTTCGCTACAATAAGTACTCCATACTGCCATTGGAAGTTCGCATTAGCATGAACACGTGGTGTTAGTCTTATCGTCTTGCGCCAAGTGCATATCTCATGCACTTAGCAAGTTTAAAAGAAACTTTAAACCCTAAACTTAGGTGGTATATCCTTATTAGAAGAGAAAAGTTTTATCACTTCAGTAATTCCACTGTCTACTGAGCCAACGCCCGTTCTGGCCGAGCCAACCATGATCTCCTTTGGTCTCGTTCCCATTCTTTGTTTGAACCGACATAGCTGTGTCTTGCTTAGCCACATATTTCAACAAACTCCACGACAGCACGCCGTAAATCACGCTTACCTTAAAGAGCCGTTGAGGCCTGGTCGGGAGTCTTGTCCGTGCCTATATATAAAAATCATTTGCTTTTATCCAAGGTACGCGAACATTGTATTTTCCCTCGAATACAACTCGGATTCTTCCTAACTTGCGCATCGGAGTGTTTTCTCTTGCAAGTCTTCTGCTCATCAAAATTCAGCTAATCCTCAAGGTCATCATTCCGTCCAAGCCGAGATCGTAAGCTTGGTAATTTTTGTGATCAAACATTTATCTTCTGTTAAATCGAACC